GGGAGATGCCTAAACAGCTCCTTCTGTGTGGAGAAACGCATGCAGTCTTCACAGCACGTTACATAACAGTCATTAAAGAGCACTTTTTTGTTGTTTTGTTTCGTTAATTATTGCTGCTTTTACAGCCCAGCAAATAATTTGTAGCAAATAGTTTATTCGATTAATTGAGCTACTCTGCTCTGGGAGCCGATTGCCACCTTTGAAAATGTATTCCCACTGGAAAAGGAGGTGATGGGGGTCTCAGGGGAGCTGCCTTTCCTCCTAAGTCAATGCCCAGCGCTAGGACTTCTGCCTCTGCTGCACCATGCAAGCCTGGGAAGGTAGGTGCACCATCCCTAGCTCGGATCACTGCTCCAAGGTGCAGGATGCTGCTCGGATGGCGCAGGATGGAAGTTCATGCTCTTCAACGGGAAGTAGCTGGCAGGACACAATCTCTCCTTTTTCCAGTTCACCTAAGAGCAGAAATTGCTGTTTGGGGCCCTGGAATTTGCCAGGTCTGGCTGAGATGGGAGCTTCATAGGATGCCTCTACCACAACCACTCCCAATATTTTTGGCCCACCACGGGTTATGGCCACCATCCATGAACCACAATGGCCAATACTGTCCCAAGATAATACTAAGAAAGGAACAATCCCGTGCTGCAAACATGCTGATCATCCTGGAGGAGAAGGGACAGCTATTCCAGAGTGTCTTCTGCCGGGCTTGTCCTGCAGTAACTCTTGTTGAGCAGCTTCTTACACAAGAAGTGCTCCAGGCAGCTGACCGTGTAGACAAGGCCTCGGATACCAGTGGGTTGTTATTGTGAACAGATTTGGAAAAATATTTTCCAGCCCTGTTCCAGCTCAGCCTGAACACATCCTCCTGGCAGCGTGCGTCGCTTTGGGCTGACTTCCATGCCATGTGGGTCACCGAGAGAGGCAGAAGAGGGCTGAAACTGATGGACAGGACAGAACTGATGCTGAGCATCAGCACCATGAACATCAGCACCATGAACATCCCGTGTGGCCTTGGAAAGATACTGAGGAGCTGGATTCATCCACATGGTTGAGTACATTTGACACTAGTATGTTGGACTACATTTGAGCTGCTCACCCTGGGATTCCTTTGGAGTCAAAGGACTCGAGGGAACAGTTCATCTTCTCTGTAAATCCATGTTCTCTCCAGCTGTACGTGCCTTGTCGCCATCCAGATGGAGATGCCGGCCTTGCTTGCTCTGCACCAAGGAATGGTCGTAAGCTAGTCTGTGTGCTACAGATGCTCCCAAGGATGGATGTGTCCGCACAAATGACCTCTCGGTGACCTAGACTTGCTTTATTCACAACCAGTCTTGGATTAAGGACCCCCACCATGCCTGCTGATCTGTTCCTGAGGAAGCCACAGGGAAATATGAGTACACAGGATCTCCCAAGGGTGCTCAGCACAAGACTTGGCCACTGCAAATGTGCAGGATGGCCAAACCAATTCCAGGGATCATTCATCCCAGGAAATAAGGTCTGCTCCACAACACGTCTGCCAGCCCAAAAGCCCTCTGGACATTGCAATCTTGCCAAGCAAGCTCTGGAAACAGTACAGTAGACCACAGCTCCTACGCCCTGATTTTTGCCTCTACGAGAAAGAGAAGTCACTGCTACTTCTACGTCCCAAGGCTATTTCAGAAGTAGGCCAAAGAAAGGATGAATAACCCTTTTGATTCCTTCTTCTCAGCACGGACTGACACTGATGGAGCAGGAAGCAGCTTTCAAAGGGCAATTGTCACGGTCGGCAGCAAGTAGCTTCACTGGGAAAACTGGTGGTGCAGCTGAAAGGTCATCGCCATGGCAGTCCTAGCAGAGCTTCAGGAGATGCTCCTCAGGACAAAGGCCTGGCTCTGCCAGGCACTAGGTGAACAACACTTATTAACCACATCACCCCAAAGAGCCTTGGGTCCTGTTTGGTCACAGGTCTGGGACCAGTGAGTAACCTGTGGCTTGTTTCCATTGGTTGCACCCGGTGCAACCTGGTGACTGGTGGCACCATGTCACAGCAGAAAAGCTGGCTGGCTTGGAGCAAGGTGCAGATAGAGATACTTAGCCAACAGCTTTCCTGATCATGAAAGTATTCCTGTATATTCATGTATTCCTGCAGAAATGGTTTTTTTTGCAGGATTAAAAAGCAGATTTTTTTTAAGTTATTTATTGCCAATGAAGACTGCAAATGCAAAGCTGCTGCTGAACTAAAAAGTTCAGCACGAGGGCACATGGATTATTTTCATTCATTAGCATCACTTTCATGGCAGTGGAAAACACCTTTGCAATAGACTTTGCCTTATCCTTCCCACCCAGATGAGGTTTTAAGCAGGTCTAAACACTAGTATGAAGGCTGTAACAGACATGCAAGGATGGGGAGCTGATTTCACATGTATCCAGTCTGTGGGCTGCAAAGCTGTGTGTTGTCCTAAGGAGAAGCATTCAGGTTGGGATGAGTGCGACAGGATGGGATGGCTTTCCTTCTCTGCTGTCCCCACGGTTGCTTTGCACCATGAATCCACAGGGACTTGAATGCCCCATTCCCGTGAATTGTCGGAAGGCTCCGGGAAGCTGATACATGAAAAGCTTCATTAGCAGGAACGCTTGTTCCCTGGGCCTGGCCACCCAGAATTAATTACAGACGCTGGATTGCTTTCAAGACTGCCTCTTGTCCGCGTGAAATACGGAGGAAGCAGCTCCCAGAGTCTGCTGTGTTACATGAAACCAGAACTGGAACAGGCTGAAGGCTCCACTTGGATATTTCTCAGGGCCAAGAGGAAACATAAATCCATTCAAGAATGCTTAAAAAAAAAAAAAGAGCCTCTTCATGGTGCTGGCCTCCAGAGGCAGTTAAACTGTTTTTCTTAGGACTTCAGAAGGCTCTAGCCAGGCTTTGTAGGTACAGGAAACATTTTTGGGGTCATGCCAGCTCATGCTGGGTCTTGGTGACCTTCTGGCCACTGAGGAAGAGTACAGATGGACAACCCAGCCCTCCAGGTCAGGACTTTGCAGGGCTTTGATAGGGCTGCAGTATCTTGTTTCCTCCAGGTTCTCTCCCTACCCTTTGCAAAACACTTATTTTTTGGATGCAAGGCTCAGACAGGGCAGCAGTTCAAAGACAGGTTGTCCCTGCTCCAACCCATCACCATCACCTGGGCCAGCCCTGCCCAAGTTGACAGGTCAGGATCTCCTCGCCGCATGTCACAGGGCCAGGACACAGTTTGATCGGGTCTCTGAGCCCTGCATTTTTGCCTTCTTTTCTCAGGCTCACCAAGGTGGTGGTTAACCCTTGACTAGGAAACACTACCTTGGACGGTCACCAGAAGGACTTGCGGGCATGGCCAAGGTCTTCTGTGTCACCTCCAAGGAGGGTGGGATCCTAGAGCGTTCCCTGTGCCTTTTGGGGGAGTGTCAATGCCAGCAAGGTGGTGACCATGGAGGGTCACTGGCCACACTGGGCTCCACCACCAGGCACCCAAGAGCTCCCACCACCACACAGATTTTGGGTCAAGCCTAGGAGGTCTGGCTTACCCAGGCTGGACTCACTCAAAACACCTACAACTCCTACTACAGCCTCCATGCCAACAGTCCAGCAAGCTTTTGAGTGAGTGCAAAGAACACCTACTAGCAAAAACCTGTGCTGAAATAGGCAGGAACGAGGCAAAGGCAGTGCTGTATGGAAACAAAATTATTTTATTGAAAGTGTAATGGAAATTTCTTCATATTGCTTTGATGAAATGAGAGACAGCAGCTGTAGACAAATATGCTTTCTTTAAACAAATGAAAATGGATAAGGTAAAAATAAAGCATTTTTTTTACTTGTACCTTTAAGCAACATAATCACAATATATACACAAAGAAAGCTAAAATAAAGCTATGTTGAAACCAAAGTGTTTCAATCAATACATTAGATAATTACAGATTGTGTCAATAAATACCCAGCGTTTAAACTGTTTAACAGGCAACTTTTTACACAGATACTGAGAAGAAAAAAAATATATTTACAATTCAGTGCCTTAAAAAAAAAAAGAAAAAAATCTCTTTTTTGGCACCAACACAAATAAAAAGAATAAATTATAGAAAAAAAATCCACAAAGGCAGGAGTCCATCCCTGTTATTCATTAAAAAAAAAGTGTGTGTGTGTATGTATATATATATATATAAAATATATGTATATATTTTATATATAAATACATATATGCAGAAAAACTTAGGAATGTTATAAAATATATTAGTGCCAATAAATACAGAATGGTACCAGGCTCTTAACTGTCAGTATCTTTGATGCAGTCTGAAGGATAGAAACTACCACCTAGAAGATAACCAGAGGGGATTTTCAGTCGCAAGAAAAAAAAATATTTATATTCATATATATATATATATATTAGTATATATATATATTTATCCAGGAAATCCTCCACCTGCCAGTAGTATTACTACAGCTGCCCTCCTGTGATGGCAAGTGTGGGACTGGCTCCCATCGGGGTCAGCGCCACCATGGCCACCCCATTCTCTTTTCCACATGTATCCTTTTTAAAACGCTAACCGGCTCAATGCAAGAGAAGATGTACAATTAAATAAGAATAATTAACAATAATAACAACAATACAAGGACACGACAGTCTTTGCTATATTCGTACGCTGAGATTTCACATCTTTGCCCTGATGAGTCCACAATGATTTAGCTGTTGAGTGGCAGGTACCAAATAGGGCCACTGTGGATTTGAGCTGCCAGCCCAAGGAAAGGCTCCCAGACCCTCATTCCCTTCCTCGTCACCCAGCCCCACATCGGCGCATCCAGCACATCACTGGTATTCCTGGGGCAGGCACTTAGTGTGTCACCCACCTACTGATCTTATTGTACATCATGACCAAATAGTGTCATCTTCTTGGACTGACTCAAACAGTACATGCTCAAGAAGGCCTCTGTTGACTTTCTTGAACGCAACAATTTCTCTCTTTTTTTGCCTTTTTTAAAGCTTTTTCTTTCCAGATGTTACTCTCTCTTCCCTCCAGAAGAATCATACAGGAACAATAAATAACCCTCAAAACCTCCACTCCTGTCTTTCCTATTAAAATTTGCCTACAAATCAGATCTAAACGATCTGGGCCCCAAGGTTGCGGGCAGTTTTATCCAGGGTGTTTCCGAGTGCTACAGAGCACTCGGATCCGGAGTGCGAGCGCAGTGTCACTGCCACCAGCTTCACCCTCCTGGAGTCCCATGGGCTGGGAAGATCCTTCCTGCTCACGGTCCCTCTGCAAGTTCAGGCACCACAACTGATCGATAGCGATCTCATGGCCAAATCCTTAGGAAATTAAATAACTTATGAAATAATTTATGAGAAAGGTTTCCTTTCTTCTTTTTTTTTTTTTTTTGTTTAAATACAGTGAGTTCATATTATTCTTTGAATGGTTTAGGGTTTTGCTTATTTGCTTTCTATAGCAGAATTATGGATATCGCACACCTCCATGTTACCATGTCTACTAAAGGACCATTAGCTACCAAAGGATGCTGTTACACACATTTCCTCATCTCCCTCCTGTCAGGCTCTTTAAGAAATGTTATATGAAGACCAGTTCAGTGTCAGATAAAGTTGACACCTTTCAGACTCAGAAAACAGTGTTGTCCTTAGGATGTGTGCTGCTAAAGACCTTATTGCCCTTCCAGGTCATCGATAAACCACAGTGCTATTCATGTACTACAGGTAAAAAATAAATAAATACAGATATATTATGCAAAAGAAAATATGATTGTACACATAATACATCTGAGGTACTACCAATTTAAATAAGGTTGTGTGCTAGTTCAAGCTTCAGTGGCTAGTTAGAATTCTGGAATTTGCAATAAATAGGTGAAGAATGATAATGCATATAGTGTACGGATCTCTTCTGTAAACCTTGTCAGATTTAAACATAAGAGCACGTTGGGCTAACTCTTATGCAAATCACAATTTTTTGACAATAAATACAGGCTTCAAAAGGTGTCTTAAAAAGTTTCTGCAACACTGAAAAGTTTCTCGAAGGGGCTGCATGTACGACTGGCAATGTTAACAAGGAGCATTTCTCAACAGGTCTCTTCATACAAAACACAAGGAAATTCATACTTGAAAGTCTTCTCCCCATACCAACCCACCCTCCCCACCCACCGTGAAAGTTTATAAACTTTGCACAAACAGCAAGAGAACTGATTGTAGCTGCAGTATGTCAAAACGTCCACTTTCTATAAAGACCAAAAATAGTTTGTTTGCTTAGAAAGTTCTTCTCTTGTCGCACATTTTCCTCTCAGTGAAAGTTTGCCCGCTCTACTTAAGTCTCTCCAGTCTTGTTTTTGGGGCTCCAAAGCATTCCTGCTCTCCTCCCTTTTTAAACTTTCACCGTTTCCATTAGCGATGACTTAATGGCATCTTCCAAAAGCTGATTGTCTGTGAACGGGGCTGGGGTTTCGGGGACAGATTCAGACAAGCCGATGAGCGACTCCAAGAAACAGGAGCCCTGATCTGCACCTTGAGGGAAGCCCGGGAAATTGGGCAATTGAAACTGCAACGCAGAGAAGTTATCGAGGTTTTCGTATTCCTTTAAGGAGTTATAAAGAGGTCCCAAGTTATAGTCCGAGAAGGACTGAAAGAAATCCAAGGAGTCAGAGGAAAGGCTGAGATCTGTGTAGCTCTTGGAGCACGGCTCCGCCGGGGATGCCGCGCAGCATGAAAGCCCATCACAGCGCGCGTGGGCCGCCTCCTCCACGAAGCAGCTTGCGTCCTGGTTGGCGTTCTCATCCAGGCACTCGGAGAGGTGGGACAAGTGCCCAGAGCCTGTGCCCACGGCATTGGCCTTTTCCACACACTGCTCTTCGATGCCGGTGCTGAAGAAATCCGCGGGATGGAAGCAACTCAAGTTGTCCTGGCAGGTGTCGCTGTTGTCCTCGCCGTCCGAGTCGTTGAAGTGGAGGATCCGCGCTAGGCCATCGTCGTCGACGTCCGACTGGGACTTGTCGGAGGGGCCGTTCTCGTAGGGCTCCTCCAGGTCCTCGCTGGGGCTGGACGAGATGGAGGAGTCCGTCATGTCGCTGCTGCAGCTGTTCTCGCCGATGGTCTCCAGGTCCATGTTGAACTGGAAGGCCGGCGTGAGGGGCACCGCTCGCTCCTCAAAGACAGTCTTCCCTACTGAGCAGCCGAACTGATGGAGCCGCTCCCGGAAGGAGGACTCGGAGCCTTCGCTCACTTTCTCGCTGCTCTGCTGCTTCTTCTCCAGCTCCAGTTTCATGATGGTGTGGATGAAGTGGGTCTGCACGCGGGCCTGGTTGAACTCGATCCGCCCTTCGGTGTTGCCGCAGCCGTCCTTGGTGCAGCCACAGGGGAACGACGTGTGGTCCATCTGCACAGGGACAAGCAAACGTGGCGTTAGACCCATGTGGCCCATGAACACGTCCCACCCCTGTCCACCCTGCCCCAAGCCACAACAAGAGCCGCGGCAAGCAGCAAGGAAACCATGGGAAGCGCAGCTTAGTGAAACTGAAACTGCCCTTTGCTCACTGACTCTGAGAAACCACTTTAGCAGTGAAAAATAACAGCTAAGAGATTTAAAAGGAAGATAAAAGGGGAAAAAAAAAGACAATAGAAAAGGGCATGCTGCTCTTTTAGAGGGTTGTCTTAGAAAAAAAGGATGGCTTTCAGTGTAACTTAAAACCAAGTGCTTGAGGGAAAGCTGACAGATAAAAAGAAATGTAAAGCATTACATTTTAAATGGAAATACATGTGGAAAATAGTGGATAAATAGAGGTTTAACAAATATGTACCATGCTATTTAATATACACACATAGCATGAGTTTTGGGGCGTCGCTGAGAGGCAGGACTAAGTGTCCAGCTGGCATTTGTGGTCCCTCATACCCGAATTATGAGCAGCCGCTAGAGGGAGGCTGTGGCACACACACAGAGCCCCACGCGCCGACCACAGCGGCGAGTGCGCAAAATACCAAATACGCCTCCCCAAACACAACGGGCATGCACCCATCAGAGAAAAGGGGGAAAGAAAAGGAATAAGATCCCTAAATTCCCTACAGGAATTTGTTTGCAGATGGTGTCTAGAGCTAGCTCTGGGCTGACGCTCTCAGCGATGCGGATGGTGTCCCTGCCAGGTTTCATCGCTGGTGCTGCTTGGAAGGAGCACGTGTCACCCTTTCCCGGTGGCACAATGCCCGCCAGCCGCGGTGCTCAAGTGCCCTACCTGGCACTTGATGCCCGCTAAGCTGCAGCTGCAGGTCTCCGGGTCGCAGAACTCCTGGCAGTCGCAGCCGCAGTCCTCCCGCGACAGGCGGATGTTGTGCAGCTCCCGCTTCTCCTCCTTGTCGATCTTCTTCACGCCCACGGCCTTGAGCAGCGCCCGCCTCTTCTTGGCTGGGTAGGGCTGCAGGAAGAAGCCGTCCTCCAGGTCCACGTTGCTCACGTCGATATCGTCGTCAGAGATGTCTTCGATGGTGAGCTGGTTGGCCTCCTCTGACTCCTTCGTGCCATTCATGGTCAGCTGAGGGAAAAGCGCAGGCAAGGGGTTAGGGACTCACTGTGAGCATCAAACTCTGTGTGGCCAGGAAAATTGTGGCAAAGGAACCAAAACAGTGCCCGTTAACACCCAGGGTTGGAAGAAACTGGAAAGGGAAGATCATTCTGGTAGTGGAAACCTCCAGAATCAGCATACGACACACCTGGTCCCCAGGACAAACTGGACTTTTCCCAAAGAGCTTGCAGGCCATGGAGGTACAGACCTCTCCTTACTATCTCACCTAAAGACCTGACAGGTAACCTACACATGGGATTAAGATCTTTCTTGCCATCTTCCAAGGATGGAGAACTGAGCTGAAAACCTCATGCTAGAGCCTGTGGTTTTCTGGAGATCAAAGCAAGGTCAAGGACTTATACCCTGTGGTCCCAGAGAGATCTTGAAAAATATAGTGGCTATTAACTATGAGCAACACTCATCCACTCACGCTTTTACTCACTTTCCATTTCAATGCTTCCAACTTCTCTTCTTTTAATTTCTCCTCGAGCTTCTCCCGGCGGACGTTCTCCTGCTCCTTGGAGAACTCTGCGAGTGTAAACTGCCTGGAGGAGCTGTGCTTGCTCACCATGCCCAGGGTGCAGCCGCCACGGCTAGGCACGCTCGTGAAGCCCTGGCAGCGCGGGAAGTAAAACACAGTGACCCGGTCAAACTCCACATTGTTCTTCTTTAGTCGCTTGGATTTCTTCAGGATGGACGTGGCTAAAAATGGGGGAAAAAAAGCACATGGAGTCAGGAGGGCCATCCTCACAAGAGGAGGGATAGTAAGTATTACGTAAAGGTGGGACTCGCAATTTCACTCTCAAGAGCAACATGACATCAACTGAGGACAATTTGTGGATCTCCGAAAGGGGGAAAATGTATGGACAGAACTAAGCCAAGCCTTGATGTTGCAGAATTGCTGAGCAGATTCACCCTAAGAAGCAGCTGCTGCTTTACCTTCCCGCATGATCTCCCCCAGGAAACAGAGATTTGCTTATTCTTCATGTGCAGCAGAGCCTAACAAGCAAAACAACATCTTACGGGCCTGTCTTGCTTCAGACCAGAGGGTCCTGCCAGCCGGTTTGCAACCATCTCCTGTTTGGGCTAGAAAGGTCCATTCCCAGGACTCACAAGCATGGACACTGCAGAAACAGCGCAGTTTGGGCTCATGTCTTGAGCACAAAACCACCAAAATGGCTGTTTTGCTGGTGCTTCCTTCCACCATCCTCTGGGAGGAACTACGAATCTACAGCTTATTCTCAAGAGGCTTGTTCGAGAGCAGCTGCAAAGACGTTAATCTACACACAGGTGATCCAGGGGGCACAAATGTGGCAAAACATGACTCTGTCTTGTCTTAAAACTGCTGAAACACTCTACACCCCATGTAAAGCAGGACCCTCCAGGGACATGTGGCTTAGCACGTTTGCTGGTGCCAACGCAACTGATGGAGATGGATGCAGAAGCAACCTGAGAGACATTGAGATTCCACCAACATCCCTGGCTGCAAAATGGGGAACATCAATAGTATTTTGGGTTACAAAACTGCTTTTTCTGCAACATGAGAATGGCAGGAACAAAAGTTAAGCATGAATTCAGAGCCAGGTCCTGTTTTGGTCCTGTTCAGTCTCTTGTGAGAGGCAGCACAGGATGTCTCAATTGCCACTATGGAAGAGTAGCAAAAAAAAAAAAAACAAAAAACAAAAAAAAAAACCAAAAAAAAAACCTCGAAAGGGTGGTGATGCCCCAGGATGGTCCTAGGGATGGTGGAGGGAGAAGACAGCCTCAACTGGGGCCATCGCTGCTGAGTCTGAACCCAAACGACTGTCCCAAGGGTGGCTGGGGCAGTTGGCTTGGCCAATCGGCCAATTTGCAGCCTGGAGGAGAGTGGGCCTTCCTCACCAAAATACAGCATTTTGGGTTCCTCTGCAAAAATGCATCCACCCAGCTACGTCAGCACCTTCTGTGAACTCATGAAGAGGGTTTCACAGTGGGCTCTACACTTGCTTTGATGCCATCTCTGTGCTGCGCCTCCCATTTTGCCCATGACCTCAGTTCAGTTGGCCACATTAGCTTCCTATCAAGGGCCGAGTTAACCACCGCGATCACTTATCGATGGAGCTGTTAAACGTTGGCATTCACTTCTTTCTCCTCCCAAATTGCTTTTCCATTCCTGACCCTTCTCCAGTTGAGCCAGGGAAATACAAAAAGTTCATTGTTTTGTCCCAAAACTGAAGAGGACAGGCAAGAATGGGACTCTTTATTATGACAAGACTTCTAAAGCCTTCGCAGACCACTGCATGTTTGTGTATGTCTGCTAAGTGGACCTAAACTGCTACATACAGTGGGTGTTCAGAATAACTTAATAGAATGGACTACTCCTCCTCCCTGAAGATGGTCCCCTCTTGTTTTTTTTTTTTTTATTCTTTGCCTGCCAGATAAGGGTTTTTGCAGACTTGTCCCCGATGTGTTTTCCTAAAAAGCTCTCCAAAATGCTTTTGCTGAGAAAACAAAGTAGCATTTATCTGCACCAGCAGCAGAGGCAATGTCAAATGTGTCATGGTCCCTGGCAGAGCACCCAGCCTACTCGGGAAATGGGCTCTCAAATGGCAATTAAGCTACTGGTTAATCATTAAAAAAAAAAGGTAGAAAATACCAACAGTGTGGGCCTGGCCTGTCTGTATAAAAGCTGCCCATTTAACAATTTGAGAGTTGAGGGATTTGCAGAGGGACCTACAGTGCTGGAAGACTACCCTGAAAAAGCCATCTGATGCAGAAAGCGGCCTAAATCATTTGGCTTATTGACATGAAGCTCATTGGCAATGGCAAGAGGAGGTACTCACGGGTGAAGTTGGACGTTAAGGCCGAGCTGGGCTTGGTCTCTCCACGGGAGCTCTCCTCATCCGATTCCCAGCCGGAGGAAGCGGAGGAGGAGGAGAGAGGGGAGCAGGAGGAGGAGGAGCAGTAGGTGCTGTCATCCCCCAGCTCTTCATACTTCCTTTTCAATACTCCGCTCATGGTCGCGCCGTGTCTTTCATATACCTGAAAAATGAGGAATAAAGGCAAAATTAAGCAAGAGAAACAATGGTCACTCCTAGGAACAAGTCGCGACAGCAGTAATCCCCAGCATGGCACCACGTCAACCTGGCTGAGCACTTAGTCGATCTTACTACAGACCTCCATGCACACCTGCCAAATTTCCCATTTTTTCTCATCAAAAGCCCAACCATCGTATACAACGCACTGCTCAGAATCAAGCTCCATCAATGCCAACATTATCAAACAAGAAATCTCATGGTTTGCTTGCTAATTCCTTGATGTTAATTCCTCATCCAGCTCTCTTTCGGCGCAGTTACAGCTTTAGTGTCTTGCTAATTATAAAAATAAGCCTGTTTGCAGAGAACAATCTGTTGGCGTGATTTACTTGCTATAGCCCCCTGGGGAAACACACTTATTAAATGAAGCACTGCAATACAAATGTATCAGCTGGGAAGAGCGGCACTTCTCACAGTGCCTTTCATAGCCGTTCCCCTGTTTAAGGAGCTCTTCTTGTTTAGGCTGGGTTATGTATCAGGCAATAAAAAAACCAATGCAGCTAATGAAAAGCAAAGTAGGTCGGCGCTAGTCTCCGTTGCTAAATCACCTTCGTGCTCTCCTATCATCTCAAGGATCTACAAGTGCTACCAGGTCAACTGCAAACACCTTCAGCTGTCTCGGGGGAGTGAATTTGTCCATCAGGGCCAGAAATGTCTGACTTTCTTGCCATTTCATTGGCATGCCTGCTGCAGGTCTCCAAAAAAGCCACCAACTGACAGCCACCAAAAGACAATACAAACCACCTGACATGACTCCAAACCTCTTAGTGATGGCACTTGTACCTGAGCAGCTCACATAGTCATACTGCTACATGTTGTGCATGGTGCCTCCAAAGCCCTCCATCAGCATTGATCAATCCCACCCACAAGCAGCTTCCCTGGAGACAGAGAGCCCCCCAGAAGGTTAAAAATCACCAGAAGGAATCAGATCTGCGGGGCCCAAAAGTTAGTAATTCACTGCACATTTTGCCAAGGAGCCCCAGCACGGCAGTGCTCTGCTCCTGGGGCCAGGCCACCACCAACCCACCTCGTCCCTGTGCACAGATCTGGAGCTACAGGCAGTTTTGCCACCAGCAGGGCTTTTGGGGCCTGAATCCAAAACAGATGGGGAGAAGAGGGTGGATTTGGCCATTGTCCTTCAGCCTCTCTGCTGCCTGCCGCGTATCCTGCCTGACACCTGGATTAATCCCTTTGCTGCCTTGGCCCACACAAGGCCAACCATTCCCTCTGGGTTATTTTCAGCAAGGGCAAGGCATCAACTTGCTCTAAGGAACCAACAAAGTGAGGAAAGTCTCCAAACCCCTCACCTGGAACAAGGCCCAGTGGAGGCTAGAGGACTTCTCAGCCCGGTTCCATCAACTTGCTCTAAGGAACCAACAAAGTGAGGAAACCCTCCAAACCCCTCACCTGGAACAAGGCCCAGTGGAGGCTAGAGGACTTCTCAGCCCGGTTCTTCCAGTTCCATAACTGTTAGAAGAGGTCCAAAACTTTGCAAGGAAAGGCAAGATACCTCTCTGCTCCACTGGGTTTCCAGGCCAGTGGGGCTTCCCTATGAAGTCCCAGCCCTCAGGTCTGTCTCTCACCACAGATGACACCTCAGAGCCACAAAAAAGAGAAAGAAGCCCTCTGAGAAGCCCTGTCCCTCTGCAAGTGGGATGGACAGAGAATGGCTGAGTGACCTTGTGCAGGAGGATTTGCAAAAATATAGTCAAAGCCAAAATATGAATGGACATGGGTATAATTTTGACTACTGGACATGGGTATAATTTTGACTACATCCAAGCTTGCCAGGAGATGCTGGAGGATGGTAGAACAGTCAAGGTCACACAGCTAAAAATGAAGTTAAGTCTCAGGAAAACAACACTTGTCTGGCCCAGGTCACTTGCTGCAGGATCCTCTTTTACCCCCTCCACATTGACATGAATGGCTGCTAAAACCTACTGCCCTCCCAATTTCTGCTTCTAGGCTTCCAGAATCATAGGCTTCTATGGTGCTGTGGATCATAATCACCTTCCATGCACCGTCCATCCATGGGCCAAATCTTCCCCTCAAGCATTTGCTTCTCCTTAAGCACCAATATCCATCTCCTTTCTGGCTCAGCATGGCCCCATGTACTGCACAATTGAGGAGCATCAAGATCTTCCCAAGCTACAGCCAAAAGAAATGAAGTTTAGGAACACCCAAGGCAGTGGGAACAGCAGAATATAGGAGGGCACCCATTTTTACATGGTATAAGTGGTCCACAACTCCGAGATGCTAACACAAGAGCATCTGTCACTTAGCATGAGCTGCACAGCCTTTTCCCAAACTACACAGCAAAAAAACAGGTATTGTCCAAGGGAAACTACTCAGATTAACACAAACACAAAGGCAGAGCCAAGGAAGCTGTGTTAGACAGCACAAGTCTTTGTCTTTTTCCTTTTAGCCATAAATACTTATCATCCTTGATTAGGCATGTTTAGCGGAAGAATTAAGGAAGGTGCACACACCCCACTCATCTATAAGAACAGCCAAATACATAGGAAAAAGAAAAAAAAAAAAAGCCTTTGGCTCTTTTTGGCCTTTCTTCTATTGAAAATATCTGTTGTTTTGTCAACACAAGATGGGTATCTTGCAAACTTAATTCTCAAATAATGGGAGAAAGCTTCTGGAAAGGCTGTTGCCAACCAGCCAAAACACATTCACCTTCTCCTATAATGTTTTCCTCCTCTTCCCGTTTCCTGATTTTAGGCTGGAACATTTTCCAGGTCAAGTTTTTCAATCTTTCTCATTAACTCAGCACCATATAGATATGGTAGGGCTGCACCCATCAGTGTCTACTTTCCACCGCTGCCCTCCACAAAAGAAAAAAACAGATCCTCCAGGATTGTCAGGGCAAAGCCAACACTTTTCCTTCTTGACCCCAGCCCTTGGGAGCAGAATCCACGCCAGCAACTCCACACCGCCTTGAAACCAGCGTCGCCGAAACTGCTGGCTGCTCTGCCAAAAAGCCTCCGAGGCCAATTCAGATGCAGTGAGGATATTTTAATTGCAGTAATTCCACAAGTCTTAATCTCAGCTCCGCATTTATAGCCCTACACTTACATAGAAGTCACAAGAATGTGCAGAGCAGCGTGAAGGAACAACAGAAAAAAAAAGAGATCGCTTGTGCTTGACGTTGCAAATCTCTGCAAGCACCACAGACTGCAGGAAGATTTTACCACCTTCTCTCCTTTTTTTCCTTTTTTCCCTTTTTTTACATAACCTGAAATAAAATAATCCTATCTTCCTTTTAGTTGCCAAAAAAGACATTCTGTTCTTGGCTAAGACTTCTTACTCATCTATTTTACTGAAAACAGCTTTTGGAACAAGTACACAACGCAATGGATCAAACCCGCAGGAATTCCTCTCTGGCACCAGAACTCCCACTATCCTGGGAATACTTTCTAACAAATATTTAGCCCAGATGTGCATTCCTTTCTTTTTCTCTCTCTCCTTCCTTTTTTCTTTTTTTTTTTTTTTTGAGCATGAATGTTGGGGGGTGGGCAGTGGGTGGAGGTGGCCATCGAGTTGGGGGGGAAGGGAACTGAATCTGCTAAATCCTATTTCTGGCGCTCAGCGAGTTGCAGGGTAAAGCCCTAATACGCTGGAATGCAAGGAATTAATGTTTTAACTATCCTGCTCTTGGACGACGTATCAACTGTAAATATTTCGAGTCATTTCAATGTAAGAAGGTTTGGCATTTGTGTAGCCAAGCGGAGAGGAAGGCAAGCCCAGTGTCCACTTGGGCTATTTATAACTGCACAAAGAGACATTATGGTTGGGTAGCAGTATGTGGACTCTCTGAGTGGTATTTTGGAGCTTTCCACACACTTTGCGGGGTGCAACAAGGCCAGCGAGGCAGTGCAACTTCTTCAAGGGAGGCTGGTACTGCAGCTTCGGTGCCTAGTAGCATTCCAGTTGCCCAAACTGGCACCTTGGGCACTGCAGGAGGAGCAAGGACACTCCCAATTGGTGCTGGCCTGCTGGAGCGTGCCAAAGCATGAAAACACCCCAGGAATAGTTAAAAGCCAATTTCTTTCCATAAAGCAACGGAGTTCAAGCAAGCAAACAAAAGGATGAAGGATGCAATGGGTTAAAGGCCCATTTTTCCCTTTTTGCGCCCATCTGCGGATGCTAGGGGTGAGAGGAGGCGGGAAGCTGGCGCCGCATCCCGCCGAGCCGTGAGTCAGAGCGCGGCCGGCTGCCTCTCCACGAGCTGCTCCGGCCGGAGGAGCCACCAAACCTGCGTGCTGCTCAGGTGCAGCTCCCGCGCCCGGAGCCACGCGGGAATCACGGCACGGAGGAATCCCTGTCCTCGCCCACGGCGAGGCACCGGGTGTCCGTCCATCCGCCCCTGCTCCCGGCGGGACAGGCGACCTTGGGGTGAGCGCGGCCCGAACGCCGCCGGCGGCTCCAGCAACGCCTCCGGCTTACTTAATAACCAGCCCGCTATCAGCCCTGATTCATGCCTCCTTCATTTAACTATTTTAATGCTTTGCATATTTATTGGTTCTCCTCATGTCATGGCTTTGGCACTTCCCAAGTGCAGAGGGAGACCCTCGGACAGAGCCCGTCCGCCCCAAGCAGCTTCCCGGGTGCGGGAGCTCCAGCGCGGTTATCTGCACTCAGCTGGGTCTAAGGTTTCATAACCTCCCTCTGGTTAAAAATAGACTCTGCCGACTGTGCAACAGTCAGACCCGAACTACGCGGTGCCACCGAAGAGCAGCATGAATCAGATTGTAGTACCACAAGTTTATTTGCACGCCAGAGCCTGAACAAGCAAAATACCTTTCCCTGGGAAGGGCATAAGAAGTGCTTATTCCATCTAAAAAATTTTTAAATCCCGAGAAAAAGAAAAAAGAATACCCTCCTCTCTCTCCAAAAAAATAAAAAGAAAGAAGAAGCTTTTATATTTTCTGTCACATCTTCTACTGAGCCTTTGCTTCTTGCAGGCAACTTGAAAGGTAAATAAGAAACATTAGCAAATGCATTAAGGGTTATCTGACATGGCCTAGCTGCAGCAAGGTTCAAATACCCTCAGCCCAGATTGCACAGTAATAAATACAAAAACAGCAAAGCGTGCTTTGTCTAGGAAAATCCTCTATTTGATTACGCCTCATGCATAATTCACACCAGGTTTCCATATTTGTCCTCCTGTAGGTACACGCTGTGCATTACCTTGCCGGCTATATATACGCACGCATTTCCTGCACTAAATTATTAAAGGCTTGCCAGGAGCTGCCGAGGCTCTGGGTGCAGGGAACAAACACGTTCTCCCGAAAAGAAACCTCAGAGCCTTGATGGGCCTCATCTGCAGAAAACCTCCAGGGGGAATAAAATAAAATAAAATAAAATAAAATAAAATAAAATAAAATAAAATAAAATAAGCAAAAAACAACCCCAGAAAACAACAGTAACAAAATAAAGACCCGACTTGCCGATGACTTGATAATCTGCTGCACCGAATGACTCGGCTTTTAGGTTTACAAATGCCTCGGAGCGTTTTGCCTCCATCCCTGCGATGCTTTGTAATTAGGCGCCTTAGTAAGCCGGGACTGCTTCCGAAAAGCGTTGTCGCATGTGTCAGCCTCTTCCTAAAGCGCCATTATGTAACTCGTAGGTGACAGACACTTGGGGCCGGGAGGGGGTAGGGGGTAAAAAAATCCACATCGAGGCAACTTCGCGAGCTTTTCTTCTCGGGAGGGGGGGCAGCGGAGGCCGGTGCTGGAGACCGGGGGAGGCCGTCGGGGCCTCCGCTTCCCGCCAGTAGGTGCTGCTCTAGCGACGGGAAAACATCCCCGGCCGGGCAAATTTGGGGAAGAGAGCGGCTGCAAAGCCGCCTCCCCCCACCCTCCTCCTCCTCCCCCCCGCGGTTCTTTCAACATGAGAAAATTGGAAGCGCAGCCTTAAAGAAGGAGCGGGCTCCCGACTTTTAACCGAAAAGGGGGAAAATCGAGCGCAAGGCCAAAAATACATGTATATATTATATATGTATGTATGTGTTTACAGACCTGTGCACACACGCGCGTCCATATGTACGTGTGCGCTGCGGCCGGGAGCGGAGCGCGGCTCCCGCTGCGCGGCCCCGTCGGGGCTGCGGCGGCTCCGCGGCTCCCGCCCCGCGGCCGCGCTGCC